TTTGCTGAGTTTGACAGTTTTGAAGTCTTTTGCCAGATGACTTACAGACTTTCGCTGTTTATTATCATTTTGCTTGAAATTTCTATGCTTTCTTTTTTGGTTATTGGTTGTGACTTTCTTGTTGCTGTTTTCACAACAGGTTGCTGTGGCACATACAATTGGGCATGTAGCAGCGACTGTTAGTATGTCTAAGGTTGCAGTTTCTTTCACTCATATCATTAAGAGTGGAGAGCCAGCTTTCAGTGTATTGGTTTCAAGGTTCCTGTTGGGCGAGTCCTTCCCTACATCCGTCTACCTGTCCCTCCTTCCAATCATCGGTGGGTGTGGTCTTGCTGCCTTGACAGAGCTTAACTTCAACATGATAGGTAACCATTCTTTTTCCTAGAGGGAACAGAATTGTTAAAATTCTTGGTTTATTGATCTTATTATTTTCTGAATTGGTAGTACTCTGTTTTCTTTCTTTTACAATCTGTGTCATGCTGCGCTGGAAAAGAAAACCAATATATATTATAATTAACATCTTTGTTGTTAGGGAGTTTTGCAATAAAGCTAGTTAGGCGCTAACATTTCATCAATAAAGATCTAAAGCTCTAAACATGTAATTTACATACCTTATCTTTATATTCTTCTGCAACCAAATTAAATTTCCACTCTTCATATTGTATGCTTCTTTATCCTTCAGGATGAGTTTTATCCAGTTGCAGAGTTTTGGTATGGTTAAATTTCTGTCATTAAATTGTAATTTCTAGTTATTTAGGTTTGAAATGAGTTTGCTTGTTTTTCTTTAAGGTTCTAGAGTGTTAAATTTGTCTTTTTACTGTTTGTTTCAGGATTTATGGGGGCCATGATATCTAACCTGGCTTTTGTCTTTCGGAACATATTTTCAAAGCGGGGCATGAAGGGAAAGTCTGTTAGTGGGATGAACTATTATGCCTGTCTATCTATCTTGTCGCTCATAATTCTCACACCATTTGCAATTGCTGTTGAGGGACCTGCGATGTGGAAAGCTGGATTTGAAACGGCCATCTCTCAAATTGGACCCAACTTAATATGGTAATTACATGCTATCTACTAGCTGTGATATTTCCTGGTTCCTGCCCTGATACCAACTGTGATATGTTTCTACTGTTTGGTGTCTTCAGTTCTAGGTGTGCATTTGTTTTACCATGTTAGAAAATAAGGCACATGATCCCTAAATCAATAATGAAAACGTATAATCCAAACACCACAACTTTTATGTGTTTATTTTAGGTGTATGGATTTGTTTGTTAATTCAATGGATTTTCACTTATTTCACTTAACTGAATCCAAATTCACAATCTGTCCAGAGTCAAATCTCTTCTAGAGACTACTACCTAAAAAATTAATTTCCAGAGATGTCTTGAATGGCCATAATAGAATGCACATGATGCAAGGGACAAGTCATGTTGGTTTTGGTTAGGTAGTAAGTGCTAGAAGTTTATCTAATTAGATTATCTCATTTTTACTGATCATGAACTTTTTCTACATGAAAATTAGTAGGTTTTGAACACTCTTTGGCATCAAAATGATAGTTATAATAGGTTCCTGCAATCCACTTCTTTGCTGAATGTTTGTAGCTTCATTATTTATGTTACAGGGTCTTTTTACGTCAATGTACTGGTATTTGGAAGTGTTCATCAGATGAGCCAATAGTGAAACTCTGTTCATTTTTTAATTGTTTCCATATCTGCAGTTATTATTACACATTGCTGGTTAATCATTATATTTTGCATTCCATACTTTTTATTTCTTGTATGGAGAATAAGATACATCTGGCAATGTTGTTGCAAAGACCATGTGTTGTAAATGTTGTTTGGACCTTGAATCACTATATAGGAGCAATACTTTGTTTTGTTCTTGTTAACACCGTGATCCCCTTTGTTATTTTTTATTTATACAAATGCCTTCTTATACTTATGAATTGCTGTTGGTTATACATAATAGGTGGATGGCGGCCCAGAGTGTCTTCTATCATCTATACAACCAGGTGTCATACATGTCCCTGGATGAGATTTCTCCCTTGACATTTAGCATAGGAAACACCATGAAACGTATATCTGTCATAGTGTCCTCCATCATCATATTCCACACACCTGTTCAGCCCGTCAATGCTCTTGGAGCTGCTATTGCAATTTTCGGAACTTTCTTGTATTCCCAGGTAAGCCCATGTTATGCATTGAGCTTGATTGTTCATAATTTATTTACGGCCTTTTCTGCTTTATCACCCCTACTAACTTTTTGGATATTCATGATAAGTTTTCAGTTGCCATTATTTCCAAAACTTTGAACTACTAGAATACAGACCAATTGTTGTTTATATATTCTAACATTCTCCTTTGCGTGTGGGCTTCTTTCCCCCAACACCTGGGATTCAACATAAATTGTGAGGTCATAGTATCATGGATTTGAACTAATGATCTCCCATTTTGATACATGATGAACCTAACATTTCTCATTAAAATACTCAACATGTAGAATTAATCTTATATTGGGAGATTGCATTTAAAGAGATTTGAACTCCATATGTTTGAATCACGTACTCTTAACATCGTATCAAAACTGTTGTATATTTACCATTATTTCCAGAATTTTAAGTTGTTATGATGTGGCCCAGCTATTGTTATTATATTGCAACACTTTCTCTGATGCAAATTCGCCAACTCTATAGATACGGACAAACTTATTTGCTTGCTTTCTTTTCATGGCTTTTGTTTGTATGTTAAAGATGCCAACAGGTATTTGGGGGATATTTTTGTAGGTATGGGTTGTGTCACGTGCTTATGATAGTGATGGCATTGCAGCCTTAGACTATGTGTATCTTTTTAAGTTAGACTTTCTACTTTCTTTACCCTACCTTGATGAAAGGTTAGGTGTAGCCTTGGCTCATAACCAGAGCAACTTAGGTGTTAGATGTGCCTGATGTAAATACTGGCAAGGATCATTGCCACTAATTAGGATGTTGATTTATGTAGTATTAGGTGGCCTCTTTCATGCTTTGCTTGGACCATAAAAGTCTACCTAATTTTACTTTGAACTTACAAGTTTGTTTCATAATTTTACACCATTATTTAAAGTCGAGAATGATAGGCGCCCAAGTTGACTCTGACAGGATGATGTTGGGAATTTGCTTGGTTTCTCCCTTTATGATACTAAATCCAATCTACTCTTTTGGCCTAAACATCATTTTATTTCCCTGTTTCTTCAGTCAAAGCAGTGAGAAGCTTGGCCTCGAGGAGGTTTACGTTCATGTAACATAAATGACGGGGAAAGGGAGGCGGCAATTTCTGGCGTAGGCAGAGGCAGGGGAAGAGTTTCTATGAAGATCCATGGTTGCTGGATTTTTGGTCATATGAACCAAGAGTGTAATTGTAGATACCAATAATGATTCAAACATAATCACCTGTTATACAAGGAGTTAGGCGGTTTTTTTTTATTTGACCAGGTTGGTGAGAGAAATAATAATTCAATAATATCCAAGACTGTCTCTGCTTTGAGAAAGCAAAATGTCAATGTGGACCTTAGGCTTATTCGCATTTCGTGTTTAGAATCTCAAACTATGATTAGAGCATATTCCATTTGAGTTGGTGGGTGTGCTTTAGAAATCATGAGCTTTTATATTTCGGATTTAATGTAAGTCAGCAGCATCTGTTTGGTGCGGGTTTTGTTTCAAGTGTGCTTTGAGATAATTGCAAATGCATCTTTTTAATTATTTAATCACCCACTCATGTTAATTAAACATTTTTTACAAAGAAAAAGAGAAGACAATGGGTCAGATGCTATGCTATTACCATGGTCATAAAAAGGTTTGTCTTTTTATACAATATCCTCTAATAAAGTGGGATCACAAGATTTTATCAAACTTGTAACTCAAATGGTTAAGAGCAGTTATCCCTGCATCGTAAGTCCTAGGTTCGATTTCTCCTTCTCCCAATATCGTTTGTATAAATTAAATTAAATTTTGTTAAAATAATTTTGAGAACTTTTTCTTTTTGTTAAATTTCACTACATCCCCTTTTATGAGTAGCTAGTCATACCCACGTCAAAAAGTTTTTTTGTTTCTTTTTTCTAAAGGTGTTGATAAATACATAAAAATGTATTTTCTTAGTTTCTTAAAAAAAATTGCATTCTTTGCAGAGATCTGGACTGTAGAGATTGAACAAGGTTGTAGCAGTGCTGTTAATGTATTAGAAACAAAACAAAGTTTTAGATTAAGAATATAAAAATACCAAAACAAATAAAAATACCTGTGCTAAGTGTTTTTGTCTACGTATGCATGAAGGGGACGAATAAAATATTTCTTGTTCATGTACAAGAAAGAATCGAAATCTCTTTTGGGTAGTGGAAAGAGTCTCTTGTTCATGTTCATCGTCCTTTTCTTAAAATATAAAAACTATGACCCTCTTTTTTTATTTATTATTATTTATGAATCCCACATAAATAATTTTTTTTAGAACAAACAGAATTTCATTAATAAAGGAGTAAATACAAGAGATGTTGATCCAGGGCGAACAGGGCAACGGCATGGGGCACAACAAAAATTATAGTCCTCCATATATATGTATTGTATATGCCAAAACGATATATATGCATGATGTCTCCCACTTCTTTTTTTATTTATTCTTGATGCCCTTTTTTTTTAGAGAATTCTTTATGCCCTTTTGTTCCTTCGTTGTCTTTTTTTATTTATTATTATTTATGAATCCCACATAAATAATTTTTTTTAGAACAAACAGAATTTCATTAATAAAGGAGTAAATACAAGAGATGTTGATCCAGGGCGAACAGGGCAACGGCATGGGGCACAACAAAAATTATAGTCCTCCATATATATGTATTGTATATGCCAAAACGATATATATGCATGATGTCTCCCACTTCTTTTTTTATTTATTCTTGATGCCCTTTTTTTTATAGAGAATTCTTTATGCCCTTTTGTTCCTTCGTTGTTGCTTCTGGTCCACTTTTTCTTCTGTATTTTTTTTCATCTCAAATTCCCTTTGGTCTGCTGTGTTTCATTTCCTCCTCTTTGTTGCAGTTTCCTGGCGTTTGTGGTGGCAAGGGGCAGAAAATCAATTGGAGTTGGAGTTCTTGTTCTTTGCTTTAAGTTGAAGAAAAATGCTCAAACTTCAGGTTTTATTGTTCTTTGTTCATTAGTTTTATTGATTTTTTATTTAGTTACATTCTTGTTATTGTTTTGGTCTTATGTGTTGATTGTTGAGATTTTGATGTAGGACAAATGACAGATTTTATCGGGGTTGAGCTAGAGAAAAGGATGTAGTGGGAATTTGCGGATTTGTCATCCGAACTTTGATTTGGACGCAAAATACCATTTCAGAAAGGGAACGACGCCACAAGTCAAACTCACAGCTTTGCTGTGATGTAAGATGGATTTTGGCATTCTGAGGTCGTTTGGCCTTCCAAAACCTCATTCAAAGTTTCGTAGTTAATTTTCAGAATAAATGTTGTTTTCAGTTTTAATGTAATAACTCTCCTAGCAGCTCAAGGGTTGAGAGATGTGTATTTAGACAGGTTTGGTGAACGTTTTTCATAATCTCAGATTTTAATACAATTATCCCAAGAGAATTCCTCTTAATTTCTGGTGGAATCCAGATTTCTTGTTACTCAAGGTTTTCGTTTGAAACCTTTGTTGCTTGTGCTGCGTCAGATTTTTATTTTGAAGAACAAATTGCTGAAAGTCTAAAAGGATTTTTGCATAAATATTTTCTGGAAAAAAAAAATGCTTCACTGGAAAATGTAGTTGAAGATTTACCAAATGAGTCTAAACAACGAATTCATTTTGATCAAAATGAAAATGACAAAAGTGTACATGAATGAAACGAAAATGAAAGTGACCAAAGGACATGATATTGAATTGAAGATACAGTGAATGAACTTGAATGCCCACAATTTGGCATTTCACGGAACACATGAAAACGAAAATCAGGATAATTGAACCTGTCCTTGGCAACGAACATTATTAAAAATTTATAATTTATAATTTTTAAGGGGTACTTGTATCCTTTTTTTATCCAAAAAAAACTGTCTATAAAGGGCACACTCTACACTTCGCCCCGGGCCCTCAGATCACAGAAGACCGACCCTAATGTACAAGATGAACACACCCCAAAAGGAGGTTCTTGCATACAATAAATCGGGAAATATAAATCCAGCAAGATAGTGAGTAATAGATATTACAAAATCAAGCCCAGCTCACTTAGAGTTGACAGATAAAGGATCAAGAAGACTCTTTACTGCACCAGTGCTACAAAGAGATCACTAAAGTTGTAAATATTTAGTTTTTACTATAGAATATTATGATTACATACCCTAACAAGAATTCAAGGCTAAATGAGAAAGCTTTGAGGTTGGCAAATAGTCGACGTTAATTTTCCGGTCAATGGGAGAAAAGGACAGCTCTTTTCCAATTAAGAAGAGTTTTATACCATTATGGCATGATGATCTTGATTTTCTATGTTTTTGTTTTTCCTATTCTTCAAATTGTTAAGATTAGAGCATTCAACACAAAATTGTTCAATCATAGACGTAGCCGCTCAACGTCCTCTTACATGTGATCGCTGCAGCTCAATTGGATTAAACGCGGGAATTATATCATGTTATAATGTGAGCATTCAACTATAAATCAATTGATATCTAGAAAGAGCAACGTGATATGTGATTTATATCTTACATGCAAATTTCGTTTTTTATTTTCTCTTTGTTTTTCTTAAAAGTTATTTTCTTTCTAAAAACAAAGAAATAAATCCTTCATCAACTGTCCTTTTTCCAAGAAACAAGAATATATATATCCGTGTTGTTTTTGGCAAAAATCACATAGGATAGATCTTTTTTATATGTATGAATTTGGCCTTTCAAGAGTATCAAAGGTTGTCGTAAAAACCACATAGTTTCTATAATTTTTCTTTTGTTTAAAGACTTCCCACTGTGTTGCTTACAGCATTGCACCAAACAAGATCTTGAATCACTTTTCCAAGGTATAAGAACAACGTGATTTAAGGCTTAATTGCTACAACGCTTCTGAAATTATGGTCAAATCTCACATTGCCTTTTGAAACTCAAAATGGCCCACTTTGCTCTCTAGACGGTCAAATCTCACATTGCCTTTTGAAACTCAAAATGGCCTCTCACATTGCCTTTTGAAACTCAAAATGACCCACTTTGCTCCCTTGACCAATGTTGCACGATAAGAGGAAAATGTGACCCACTATACAAAAAACCATCAAATTCAGCCTCAGTAACAGTAAGGGGAATTTTTACATTAACTGGTTTTTTGTATATTTTTATTAGTTTAATTACCACATCCACCATTATTCTTAAACCGTTCTTCTCCCTTGCGTCCCTCGGTTTCGAACCCAGAATCATAGAAAACCAATTGAGAATTTGAAAGGGCTAGATTCTTTAATGACGACTGAATTTCTCTGAAGAAATTGAGCAAAGCCTTCGCAATAGCAATCCATCGTAAATATTCAGATATAACTAGATTTGCAGTCTCCTCATTGAAATTCATAAAATTACATTATACAGCAAACAAAGAAACTTGCATCATTACAAAAACTGGTCTTTGATATTATGCGGATACAAAACTTTCCTTCAAATAAGCAACCCACTGTTATTCCACTGTTATTCGTTGGAGGCATCCTTGACCTATCAGCAAATTGCATTTCCAAACTTGCTCTATAACGGGTGATTTAATAGACACATTATGGAAATAATAATAAAACATTTCCCATGGTTCCTTTAGCTTTCTGGAGAGAGACGATCCTTTGGTTTTGCTCAATCATGGTGGCATCAAACCTTCAAGTGCTTGATGGCAGTGTGAACGTCCTTATCCCCTCTGCCGCTGCAGTTAAGCACAACCTTGGCCCCGTCAGGGAGTGTAGGGCACAGCTTCTCTAAGTAGGCCAATGCATGAGAAGTCTCCAAAGCTGGAATTATTCCCTCCAGTCTTGACAATCGTTTAAAAGCTGCAAGGAGTACAAAAAAATTACGAAAGCTGGATAAGACTGATCTAGTAAAATCTAGTTGTGTGCGCTTCACATGTAATGGAAACTAGGGACAAAATATAGTCCGAGGACTTAAGACCAAGAGCATGACAAGGACACTGCAATAAGAATGACGAACATCACAGCTTATTACAGGTCTCCACTTGTTCATGGTGTCATCCGTGGACTGTACATTAAGCTTGAGAGGAAATTACATATTCCATATGTCAAACTGATATTTCATTTAAAGATAACCAATCTAACGCTATGCATAAGTGCGCACTACTTCCCCCTACCCGAAAAAGAAAAGGTCAAAAGAGTATTAAAAAAATCTGAGCCAGAGTCCAATACCTTCCAAGGCTTCTTCATCAGTAATGCTATAGTATTCAGCACGCTGTGTGTCTTTCAGGAAACTGTGCTCTGGACCAACTCCAGGGTAATCCAGGCTAAATGCCACAAAGAAATCAGAGTTACTACATTTCAAAGCCACAACAAAATTAATTGATAGCTAAAAAGATCAACGAACTCTCATACCCTGCACTTATAGAATGAGGCTCAATAATTTGTCCATCGTCATCCTGCAATAAGTAGCTCATAGCTCCATGCAAGACCCCAACTTCCCCTTTTGTCAAAGTTGCAGCATGCTTTCCACTGTCCAATCCAAAGCCTGCAGCCTCCACCCCAATCAATCGAACATCTTTGTCTTCGACAAACTCATGGAAAAGTCCCATGGCATTTGAACCCCCACCAACACAAGCTACCAGCACATCTGGTTTCCCTCCCCACTTTTCCAGTGCCTGTTTTCTTGTTTCTTTACCAATCACCTTGTGGAAATCCCGAACCATCATAGGGTATGGATGTGGGCCAGCAACGGAACCCAAAATATAATGAGTTGTCTCTACATTAGTTACCCAGTCCCTTATAGCTTCTGAAGTAGCATCCTTCAATGTAGCTGTCCCAGAATGGACTGGTCTAACCTGTATTTCAAAACAGCAAAAGAAATTAAAGTTCAAAATAATTAGGATTAGTAAGAGCGATGCATTGGACTCAAATAAAAGTAACAGTTTATGCCATTTCACAGCAGAGTCTCAAGAAAACGAAAAATGAAATTCAAAAGAAATGGCCATGGCAGTTAAATTCAGTAATTTGTCCCCTAAAATGAGTGCACATTTCTTGTAAAGAAAAGATGCAATCTGTAAAATGTATCTGATCAGCATACCTATCTTGCTAACTCACGCCAAAAGAAATTATAAACTTATAAAATCGAAAAAGTAAAAATCATCCTTTCTAGCACGGCAAAAAACAACTGTCAGCTAACCATTCATGAGATGGCAGAATGGAACACTGAAACAATCAAGATTATATATAATCAATAGAAACTTAAAATATGCTAAATAAATTCCCTGAGAGAAAAAGAACCCAAGAAAATTTAAGTATTAGATAGATCGAAAACCATAATTTAATCTCTGACACAAATCTAATAGGTAACACAGAAGGGGCAATAAGCAAGAGTCGTGCACAACATAATAATTATGGAGCATTCCATAGGAAGACAATTGGCTTCTCCCCTTCTAGGAACCCTGTTCTGGGAAAATATTACTGGTGGAATATGCAAGTGAGAAAAATATGCACAATCTCTCGGTACAGTCCAGTTTCATAATTCATTGGATGTTCAGCTAATAAATGTAACGAAGTGAGTTTCAGAATCATAACAAACCTCTGCTCCAAGAAGCCGCATTCTGAAAACATTGAGGGATTGCCTTTCCATATCTTGGGCACCCATGTAGATGATACACTGCAATCCAAAGCGAGCACAAACAGTGGCAGTGGCAACTCCATGTTGACCCGCTCCAGTTTCAGCAATAATGCGTTTCTTTCCCAATTTCTTAGCAAGCAAGGCTTGGGCAACGGCATTGTTGATCTTATGGGCCCCAGTATGGTTAAGATCTTCCCTCTTCAGATAAACGTGAGGCCCTTCACCATTAGGGCGTTTGTAGTGCTCAGTTAGCCGCTCTGCAAAGTAGAGAGGAGTCTCCCTGCCAACATAGTCCTTCAAAATGCCATTCAATTCTTTCTGCAAAATCATAAAGTTATCTAATCAGTTACTCAGTTGTATACCACCAAAAGAAAATTAAATTTCTCTCCTCTTTCAGGCACAGGAAACTCAGATTCAGCCAATAACCAAGAAGTAAAAGGGGTTCTATTGTCAGCAACACACCAAGCATATTCTTTGTAAGTGAAAAACGGAATAATCTTTTTTTTTTTTTAATGAAGAAATCTTCTTCCTTATTTTGGATACTTTTGAGTGCAAATTTCCAAAAACTAAGTTTGGCGTATGCATCCTACAATATCTCAAAATTGAACGGTAACCAAAAATTGTAACTAAAGACACCACATCACAACTAAAATCACAAATTTTATTTGAATGAAACAAACAACAAATCCTACGAATTCCCGAATTCCCTAAAGCTTCGCTGAGCTCAATGACAAAATACAACATAAACTAATTGCATGCAACCTTTTTTGGGTAACAAGATGCAGCTTCGAAATGGGTATATACCATACACTGTCATGTACTCCATAACCAAGTTTTCTGGTATATAATGCTTTCCCAGCTTGAT